TATTTCCCCAGGAGAGCGGCACAATTATCTAGCGCTCAGGCTCAGCAGGTACCGCCAGGACGATCCCTTCGTTGCAAGCGAGAGCAGGAGACAGCAGTGGGCAAGAAGCGATTCGCCGAGCCTGGAGCCGTCGCCAGAGGACGAGTTTGAGGTCCACATTCCTGGATATGACACGCCTCGCTTGTTCCTCGCAGAGGACCCCTTGGCCGCCTCCAACGCATTCTTCGTGCAGATCCGCACGGTCTTGGCGACGATGCTCGGAGTGCGCATGTGCCCTCGCTGTCCGCAATGCTATGAGTCTGGATCGCCGTGTCAGGACGCCCTGGGCAGCAACGCTGAAGCCATGGGAGGCATTGCCGGGCGCGTGGACGCTGTGTTCGGCGCCGTGGAGGCTCAGAAAACGACGGGGGGGCTGCATTATCATTTTTTCATGTTCGTTCAGCGCCTGCACCAGTTCGCCACGCTGAAGGAGATCGCGCAGAAAATCGAGGAAGGTCTCGTGAATGCGACTGAGCTGAAGCATTTCCTCGGGCAAATCTGTCGCAAGAGATACCCCGACGTGGACCGATTTGCTAGAGAGAGAACTTCGCTGGAGCAGAACTTCCCGACATACTCGGAGTCGTCCGAATGCTCTGGATCGTCAGCATGGGGGGAGTTGAAATTGGGCCGCTTGCCTCGGTTCTTGTATGATGACGCAAGAGCTGGTCTGCGCTCGTCCGCGCAGGGGGCTCCAGGGGAAGCTCAGAAGCTCGGCCTGAACTGCGACGACGCCACTTTCAAGGAGAAGTTCAACGGCGCTCTACAGTATTTCATGTGTCGGCGCCAGCACCACATTCATCGACTGGCGATGGATTCGAAGACCAAGCAGGAGAAGCGTCTGGTGCCCAACGCCTGCGCCTCCAAGAAGAACAAGAGAGAGTGCAAGCACGAGGCGCTTGTAAGTCCTGGGGGGGTCTGCATCTTTCCCGCGAACACGGGGGCCCTGCTGTCTGCGCGAGGCAGTCCGAGGGCAGATTTTGTATGAAATTGCGCAGAGCGCTTGTCTCGGAAAGCAACTTGCCGCGACGCCAGGAGCTGCTCTGACGGCACTTCCCGCGTCGCAGCGCACTGGCCTCCTCGGCGCGGCAAAGGAAAGGTTTGCAATGGGCATTGACAGATCTGATAGGGGACCTGCGCCACGCCCACGCAGGAAATATACAGATGCAGGGCGGGGCCAACGAAATCTGACTACTAAGCATTCGGTCGGCGAAGGAGAGCAGGCAAGGGTCGCGCAGGAGACCCGAATGGGAAATGCGCAGATCCGGCAGAGCGCCCAGAGAAAGCAGGTAATGATTCGATGAGACACCCTGGCGACAAAACTAAATTGACTTACGGAAACGAGAATTCAGGCACCAGCGCCCAGAGACGGGGCGCGGGAGGGGCGGGGCGCGCGCGGCGGCCCCCGGGCTCCTTGCTCCGCGCTCGCGAAGCGGTCTCGATGGCCGCCGCAGTGGCCCTGGGCCGCGCGCGCAATGGAAGAAGGACATGGCGGGCCGCCGCGCGCGCCGCGGCACTGGCCCAGGCTGCGCGGAAGAGAACAAATGCGCGAGGGGGCGGGGCGTCGCGCGCGACGGCCTTCGCGCCGGGGCGGCCGCGGGCTCGGAAGCCTCGGCCCACCGCGCAGAAAAAACAAAAAAAAAACAACTCTGCGCGAGGCGAGGGGGGCGGGGGCAGGGGCGCCGCGCGCGCGGCGGTTCTGTCCAATTCGGCGCGTCAAGAAACAATTCGAAGCGGGCCGGGAACACAGCGCTCGGAGCGGCTCAAGCGATTCGCGGAGGGAACAACGCCGAGGGCGAGGGGCCTGGGCCGCTGCCCTGGCGGCCCCTGCCCATTCGAATCGGATGCGGCGCCGCGCGCGAGGGGGGCGGGGAAGCCGGTCGCGCGGCGCCCTGGCCGATTCAGCTTTACCAAACCAGATGGCGAAGGAGCAACGCCGACGCGTTCGACGCGGCGGCGCCGCCGCAGCGGCGGCCGCCGAGCGCGCGGCAATGCTGGTCCAGTCTGCATGGGGAACGCGGCGCGCGCGGCGGCAGGGCCGCCGCGAGCGCGGCGACGCTGGTCACTTCTGAAGGGGGGCACGCCGCGCGCGCGGCGACTCCGCCGCCGCGCGCGCCCGCGACGGCCTTGCCCCATTCTGCGCGCAGAAACGCGGCGCGCGAAGGGCGCGGCCGCCGCGGGCCCCGCGCCCCCTGTTCACGTTGAATGCATCGAAGAGACGTGCGCCAGAAAGGGGGGGGGGCGCGGCCGCCGCGCGCGAGCGCGGCGCCCCTGGCAAATCGCGCGCGACAGGATACCGCGCGCACGGGAGCAGGGCCGCCGCTCGCGACTGGGCAGGGCGGGGAGGGGGGGGGGGGGGGCAAGGCGGCCGCGCAGCGGCCCTGGCCCACTCTGAACGGGCCAGCGCGATGCGCGAGGGGACAAGGCCGCCGCGAGGGCGGCGGACCTGCTCCTTTCCAGATGGAGCACCCGAGCGCGCGAACGGGCAAGGCCGCCGCCCGCGCGAAAGCCCCGGCCGTTCCTGAGTTAGAAAACACAGCGCGCGTCAGAAAGCAGCACGGCCGCGCGCGCGGTGGCTCTTGCCAGTTCTGCGCGTCAGTGCAGTGCGCGAAGGGGCAGGCCCGCTTCTCGCGTGGCGGGCCTGCCCCGTGTCGCGTTGAAACAACATCGCGGGCGAGCTGGGCGCTGTGGTCGCGCGCGCGGCGGTTTTGTTCGACGCGCGCGGAGAAAACGCCACGCGCGGGAAGGGGGCAGAGCCGCCGCGCGCGCGGCGCCCGCGGCCAATCCTGAATGCGCAGCTACGTCCGCAAGGGCGCAGGTCTGCCGCGCGCGCGTCGGCCCTGGCCCAATCTGTTTGAAAACTAAGCCACGCGCGCGGGCCCGCGGCCACCGCGCGCGCGGCCACCCTGGCCCACTCGGCTCAAGGGAACGCAACGCCCGAGGCCACGGGCCCGCTCCACGTGGGCACGGGGGCGTTGTGTCCGAGCGGGCACGGCGGCAGCGCGCGGCGGCCCTGGCGCGCCCTGCACAGGGCGGCGCGCCCCGCGGGGGTGGGGGGGGGCAGGGCAGCCGCGCGCGCGGCGGCCTCGGCCGGCTCTGCGACGCCGCGCGCGGGGGGGGGGGGCAGCGGGGGCCGCCGCGCGCGCGCGGCGGCCTTGGCCTGGCCCAGCTGGAGAGCCGCGGGGCGCGGGGCAGGGCCACCGCGCGCGGCGCCGCCCTGGCCCAGGCCCCGCCTGGATAAAGAACCGCGCGCGGGGGCAAGGCCGCCGCTCGCGCGGTGACCTTGGCCCATTCTGCATCGAATTCCAGAGTGCGCGACGGGGGCGAGGCGGGCGCCCCCGCGGCGGCCCCGGCACCGCTTGGAACGGCAGGGCGGCGCGCGAGAGGGGGCAGCGCCGCGCCTCGCACGGCCCCGCCCCAATCTACTGGAAAGGCGCCGCGCGCGAGGCGCAGCACGGGCGCGCGCCAGGCCGATCAGGCACGTTCTGCGGCTGAAGACGCTGAGCAGGAGTAGCCGGGGCGGTCGCGCTGAAGACGGCACTGGCCCTGCCTGCGCGGGGAAAGCCCAATGCGCGAGGGGCGCAGCTGCCGCGCGCGCGGCGGCCCTGGCCCATGGCGCGCGCGCGTGTGCAAGCATATTTCTCCATGCGGGTATAACAAGTACACTTATTTGTCCACGTTTACACAACGCTACATACAAACATGCGCATGTGCATGCATGCATACACGCATACATGCATGCATATAAACATACGTATATAAAAATGTTTGCGCATACATGTGTATAACGGTATGTTTGGTTTGTGGTGTTGCGCGTAGATGCTCATATGCGCGCTCATATATATATATATATATATATATATATATATATATAAGCATGCGCGAAACAGACGTCCCGCGAGAGCAGGGCCGCCCCGCGCGCGGCGGCGGTGGCCTGTTCACCGCGAGGAGAATAATGCGCGAGGGCATGGCCGCCGCGCGCGCGGCGGCCCAGTCCAAACCTCGCACGGAACGGCACAGGGCGCGAGAGGGCAGGGCAGACGCGCACCTGCCCACGCTGGATGGGCGAACGCAGCGCGCGAGGGGGCAAGGCCGCCGCGTTCGCGCGCCAGCTAGGGCTCACCACCGGCCCCAGCTGGGGCAAGGCTAAGGGCCCTGACGCCAAGACACACCCGCCCCCATCGTACAAGGCATGTCGCTGCGCACGCACAAAAAATGGATTCGGCTAAACAACCATACGCTTTGTTTTGTGCATCGTGCGTGCGAGTCGCATGCACGGCCATGGTAATTAGGAAAACGATGACATACAACGCAACGCAAACAAGTCTCTACCCCCACCCATGGGCTTCAGCTTCCCCTCCTGGGTCCACCTTCGACGGCCCCGGGTGCCTGGAGGCCCCCCCCCGAGGCCAAAGCTGGCGACACTCGCTGGGACCGGAGACAGACATCAAGAAGGCCTCCGGGGCCCTCGGCGCCAGCACTCACCCCGCCCCGCCCGCAGTGTTCCTCCTGCGGCCCCTCCTTCGGCTGCACGGATGAGTGGCTCTAGGAAGGACCTTTGGCGCGCGGCTGTGTGGGGGCGGGGGGGCGCGTGGGGGGGGGACAAAGCTCGCAAGCCGCTTCAACGGCCGGGGGAACCCCCGTGTTGGAGGCAGCCGGGGGGTCTTGAATTGGTTGGGACCCCAGAGAATCGGTCAGGAAGGGACGGTAAAGCCAAATCCGCTCAAAAAGTTTGCTCCTGGACCCCTGCCAAGGTCTATCTGGTGAAGTGTTTCATGCCGGATCTATTTTTCGCGGTCCCGGGGCACGGAAAAACGGGCAAAAAAGCTCCCCGAACCCAGAACCTCGAGCCTGCCCGCCCTTCCTGCCGGCCAGAGCCAGTACTGGGCCACCTCGGACCCCCCAGACGATTCCAGCCCCCAGATGTGCCCGCAGCAGAGGTCGCTCCGGCGGCGGGCCACCCCTCACCCATGCTCTACTCCCACCCTCTGGCGCCTGGCCTGTGCCCCGCCGGGCCGTGGTCCCTGGTCGTCGGCCGCGGCCACCGCGTCCTCGGGCGGGGGTGCACCAGTCCTCCTCCTCGGCTGACCGGCTGGGTGCTCTCGACTTCTGTCGTCGTGCTACCATGTGGCGGCGCACAAGCGGGTGGAGGGAGGGGGGAGGCTCCTTAGAAGGAGGCTGCTTCTTAGAAGGCGCTGGCCGTATTTCCATAGAGAAGGCCCGCGCCTTCTAGGAAGCAGGGGTGCTTCTAAGAAGCCCTTCACCCCCTCACCACCAGCTCTGAGCGTGGCTGAACCAGAAGGAACGCCAGATCAGAAGCGAAGGGGCGTATCTGGCCACGGCGTGCTGCCATAGGGAACGCCGAATGAGACACGTATGGCCTCCCGAGCTCACGGCGGTCCTTATTTCAGCGTTTTGGCTGTAGGCCGTTCCTGACTTTGGAAGGGAGGTGCGCGCAGAGGTGTGAGTAGGCGGGTAGTACAGGAGGACACGCAGGACACCCTCAGCCAACTCCCCCTTCGCTTCCTTTCCTGGGTTGGTCGGACTCTAGGGGCAAAGCCTGTACCGTACTCCCGTCGCTCCCCGTCCTCCTCCTCCTCCTCCTCCTCCTCCTCCTCCTCGAGATTCTCCTCCTCCGCTGGATCCTCCTGCCCGTCCATGCGGTCACGTATTCTCCGCCACCCCCCCTTCACCGCTCCTCGCTCCCCTACGGAATATAATAATGGCTGCCCTCCGGTGCCCTGATGATGCAGTCAAATCGCTCCTCCTCCTCCTCCTCCTCCTCCTCCTCCTCCTCCTCCTCTCGTCCGCATCCTCATCCTACTGGTTCTGGCTATGGCGCACCAGAGTGGGGCAAAATGGTGTCGGATCGAACGGCAGCCAGTTCAATCTTTCGTACACAGGACAGACCCGCATGTGCAATATGCAAAAGAGCGCCCACATGTTCCCCCAGCAGTGCCTGCACCCAGCTCAGGGGCTGCTCCTGTCTTTCAGGTCGCCAGACACTGCTTGCACTTAAGTCGGGAGCGGCCAAGAGGGGGGTGTCCAAGAGGGGGGGGTGCAAATTATGACCGGCGGCATGTGCGCGGCCCAGCGGGGAGGCCAGGGACGTAATGAAATAAGAAGAGGCGCCAAGACATCTTGGGAAATATCATGGCCCCGATCCACCCCCCCTAGTCATCACCCCCCTCTTTGCCGCCCCGATTAAGAAGCCACATTCCCCTCATAAAGCACCGGGTGCACGTCCAACCGTCTTGTTGTCGCCGTCGACGTCCCCGCCGCCGCCTCGTCGCCGCCCGCCGCCTGGGCCTGAGGCGGCCGGGGGCGGCGCCGCCCGCCCGCGCCGCGGCGCGGCCGTCCTGCAACGCCTCGCGCCCCCCGCCGCCAAGCAGCGGCACGTCCACGTCCTCCGCGCGCGCAGGGGGGCGCGCCGCCCGCGCGCCGCCCCTCGCCCCCGACCACGACCACGACGACGACAACGACGACAAGCGGCTCGCCGCCGATCGCCGCCGCCGCCATGGGTGGCAATCGGCGACCATGGGCGACCCATCGGGTGCGCCGCCGTCGCCGCCCGGGGAGATCGAGGGCGGGAGGCCCTCCGGGAGGCCCTCCGCCGCCTCCTCGGCCTCCGTGGCCCGGCGCCCCGCCGCGGGCCCCCGCCCCTCGGCGGCGGGGTCTCTGACGGCTTCTGCTGTCCCTCGGCTCGAGGGGCCCAGGGACACTTTTTTCGTCAGCGGCGAGGCGGCGAAATCCGCGCCAGCGTGAAGCGAGACAGGGGCACCAACTAGCGAATTGGCCGGCAAGCAAAGAGGGAAGGGGGACGGCCGAGAGGAAGGAGGGACGCTCAGACGCCGAAGAGTTCGAGGATGAGCAGCGGGGCGGGCAGCAGCAGCTGGGCGCGCAGGGCCAGAGCGCGGTGGGCGGGGGCCCTGACACACACACACACACACACACACACACACTCACACACATGAATAAAAAGACGCACAGCCCAGGACTTCCCGTGTGTTCCCATCTTTTCTGGATTTTCGTCTTCCGCCCCCCCTCTGTCCATACTTACCGTGGGAGCCTCGACGATCATTTGTGCCTGTGTTTTTCTCCTCCTGATCAGCTCGCGCTTGGGCCTCCACGGTCTGTTCCTGACCTGTCCAGGCATCTCTGGCTGTGCCTCGGCCTGTCTGGGTTCACCCCAGCTCGGGTAGATGTACCGCGCGGAGCGCCGCAAGTTTATGTTCATGCTGCTCTGTGTATTTCGATGTCCCTCGACTTGCCCTGACTCGTCTGGTTTGGTCCCCGAGGGTCGGTCCGAGAAGGCTCTTCAACCCAATTCGGGGTCCGCCCGCCGCTCCTTCGCCCTCCCCTCGACGACGACGACGACGACGACGGCGGCGGCGGCGGCGGCGGCGACGACGACGGCGACGGCGGCGGCGGCGGCGACGACGACGACGATAACAACAAGCGGCTCGCCGCCGATCGCAGCCGATCGCCCGTCAAGACGCATTGCACGTCTGCGGCCAAAAGGGGCGGGCGGCACGGAAGGGGATGAATTGCCAGGGGGTCGGCTGTCGAGAGCGGGGGACTGTGGCGGACCTCGCCTTTTCGGATGGTGGTTTCGCGTGGCTTTCCCTTTAACTGTGGGTGTAGCGCATCAGCGCATCCTTGCTCCTCTGGCTTCTCCTCTTCTTTCTCCTCCTCATCCTCCTCCTTCTTCTCCTCCGCCTCCTCTTCCTCTTCCTCTTCATCCTCATCCTTTTCCGCATCTTCCTCCTCCCCACCTCCCAGATTGCTTTGTTTTCTCTCCTCCACCCACCCAGGAAGAAAAACAAACGTGAATCCTATTTTCTTTCGGGGGGGGGGGGGGGGGGCGACGGCGAAAACACCATCCGACGTGGCCTCAGCTCCCCTCACCTCTGGAAGGATTCCGATTGAAAGCCCCCATAATAAAGGTTCATAGCGAAATCCTCCACAGGAGGATTCCTATCGAAACCCTCCAGAAGGATTGCTATTGAAATCCTCCACATTTTGGTTCCCAGTGGGATGGCCTTCAGAAAAGTTGCTACGAAAGAACAACTCCCCCGTTGACATTGCATTGGCATTGGTTCGGCAATGGTTTGGCATTGCGCTGGAATTGTGCTTTGCAGTGCGTGGGCATTGCGCTGGCACTTCACAAGCAGTGCGTTAGCGAATCCTGACGGCACCCTCCACAGAAGGACTCCCATTGAAACCCCCACAACGACTCCTATTGAAACCCTCCACGAAAAAGGTTTATATTGAAATCCTCCACAGAAGGCTTACATGCGAAGCCCTCCACTGAAAAATTCCGATTGGAATCTGCAACAAAGGATTTCCGCAATTGGCATTGCATTGGCATTGGGTTGGGATCGCCTTGGCATTGCGCTGGCATTGCGTTGGCACTGCTTTGGAATTGCTCTGGCATTGCGCTGGCGGGTTCTAATTACTCCCTTCGCAGAAAGGTAATATTGAAACTCTCCACAAAGAGGGTTCCTAAGTCTACCACAACGGACTGTCCCCATTGGCATTGCAATGGCATTGCATTGGGATCGTCATGGCATTGGTTTTGCGTTGCGTTGGCACTGCGCTGGCATTGCGCTGGCGAGTCCTAACCGGCCGCTCCACAGGAAAATGCTTACCAATCCACCCCAACAGGAAGGATGCCTAGTGACCCCCCCCGCACACACAAACAGAAGAAGGATTCACATTGAAATCCTCCGCAGAAGGATTGCATTCGAAGCCCTTGACAGAGGGATTCCTATTGAAATTCTCTGAACATGGGTTCGCAATTGCATCATCCCAGAAGGAGTCCCATTGACAACACCAAGAGAGAATGCCCCGAATTGGCGTTGTTAAGCATTGTGCTAGCATTGCGTTGGAAGTGCGCTGGCATTGCGATGGCGAATCCGAATGCACCCCTTCGCAGGAGGCTTTCTACTGCAACACCCAGAAGAAGGATTCTCATTGAAATCCACCACAAAGGATTGCCCCCAGCGGCGTTGCATTGACATCGGATTCGGGTCGCCTTGGCATTGATTTGGTATTGCGCTGGCACTCTTTGAGCATTGCGCGGGCATTGTGATGGCGAGTCCGAATGCCTCCTCTCACAAAAGGATTCCTATTGAAACACTCCACAAAGAGGATTCCGATTGACATACCACAAAGGATTGCCCCCATTGGCATTGGATTGTGGTCGCCTTTGGTATTGGTGTGGCATTGCGTTGGCACTGCTTTAGCATTGCGCTGGCGAGTCCGACTGCATTTCTTCGCAGAAGGATTTCTATTGAAACCCTCCGCAACAAGGATTCCTTTTGAAATCTACCACAAAGGATTGCCCCCAGCGACATTGCATTGGCATCGGATTTGAGATCGCATCGGCATTACGCTGGCATTGCGTTGGCACTGCTTTGGCATTGCGCTGGCGAGTGCCAATGCCTCCCGTCGCAGAAGGATTCCTATAGCACCCCCCAGGAGGATTCCTTTTGAAATCTACCACGAAGGATTGCCCCCTTGCCCGCATCCGCCGACGGCATCACGAGCCTCAGATGAAGTTGCAATATCCAGCATTCCTTTCCACGATTCCATCATCTGATCCTCTTCTCCATCCTCCTGCTCATCCTATCCTCCTTCTCCTCTTTCCTTATGCACACGGGGCCTCGAGTGGAGGGGAGAGGATCGAGGATAGACAAAGAGAAAGAGAGAGAAAGAGAGAACAAAACAAAGAGAGAGAGGTAACTATGAGAGCAGAACGAAAAAACGAAAGAGGAAAGAGAGAGAGAGAGAGAGGGAGAGAGAGAGAGAGAGAAAGAGGCGAAGAGAGCGGGATAGATGATAAGAGAGGGAATGAAACATGAGAAACAACAGGAAGACAACGCTGCAAACAAAAGAAACACCTCAGAACGTCCGAAGGTCCCAAAGATATGCCCCCCCCGAGCATGGTCCTCGAAATTCCAACCCAATGCCGTTTGGCACAGGGCTGGAATTTCGAAGACCATGCTCGGGGGGGAGATGATTGCTTGAAGGCTGTCGAAACCAGAAGGGATAGAGAAAGAAAGAGAGACGGAGAGAGAGAGAGAGAGAGAGAGAGACAGAGAGAGACGAAGAGAGCGGAGTAGATGACGAGAGAACGAACGAACGAACGAAAGGAAGAAAAGGAAAGGATAACGCAGCAAATAAACAAACATCAACAATTCACTCAAACAAGAAAGGCGGAGGAGCGCTTCACTCGATAACGACTATATGAAAACGACGAGATCTGCCACAATCCCGCGGCCTCGAGAACTCGGTGGTTCAAAGACGGGGTCCTGAGGGATGGGGTCTTAAGGCTAGGGATGGATCCGAGGGTTGATTTACGTTGCTTGAGGCTCCTCGTCCTTGGGACCCCATCCCTCAGGACCCCATCTTTGAACCGCCGAGGTTAGGCCGCCCCTTACTCCTTCGGCTACACGCAGGAGTGGCCCTGGGTAAGAGTGACCTTTGGTGGGCGGCTTTTTGGGGGCCGCAGGGGGGGGGCCAAACACAGGCGCGCAGGACGCCAGTGCCGCCTCGCGCTCGGCGATCGGGGAACCCCAGTGGGCCACCACCAAAGGGCACTCCGGCGAAGGGTCACTCCTACGTGTAATCGATGGGGTCCGCCCTGGAGACCGCTTGTTTTGAATCGGCGATAACCCAGGTTCTGGGGAGGGGGGGGGAGGGGGGGTCCGGCCGATAGCCTGACCTTCGCGCTGTGGGCAGCCCTGCATATGCCCGCGCGCACCGGTGCTGCGGCCCCTACAGCTGCTAACGATGCTGCCGCGATGCTACTCTTGGTGCTGCGACGATGCGGGCGCCGTCTGAGAATGCCTGAGGATGTCTGGACAATCTCCCGGCCCGCTGCTCGGCCGGGACCCGTCGTCGACTTCCGAGCGGCCCGCGGCGGGGCCCGCGGCGGGGCGCCGGGGGCCACAGCCGGAGGCCGAGGATGCGGCGGGGAGGGCCTCCCCGAGGGCCTCCCGCCCTCGATCTCCCCGGGCGGCGACGGCGGCACACCCGATGGGTCGCCCATGGCCGCCGATGGCCGCCGATGGCGGCGGCGATCGTCGGCAAGCCGCTCGTCGTCGTCGTCGTCGTCGTCGTCGTCGTCGACGTCGTCGTCGTCGCCGTCGTCGTCGTCGTCGTCGTCGTCGTCGTCGTCGTCGTCGTCGTCGTCGTCGTCGTCGTCGTTGTCGCTGTCGCCGTCGCCGTTGCTGTTGCCGTCGCCGTCGTCGTCGTCGCCGTCGTCGTCGTCGCCGTCGTCGTCGTCGTCGCCGTCGCCGTCGTCGTCGTCGTCGCCGTCGCCGTCGTCGTCGTCGTCGCCGTCGTCTCCGTCGTCGTCGCCGTCGTCGTCGTCGCCGTCGTCGTCGTCGTTGTCGCCGTCGCCGTCGCCGTTGCCGTCGCCGTCGTCGTCGCCGTCGTCGTCGTCGCCGTCGTCGCCGTCGTCGCCGTCGCCGTCGTCGTCGTCGTCGCCGTCGCCGTCGTCGCCGTCGTCGTCGTCGCCGTCGTCGCCGTCGTCGTCGTCGCCGTCGTCGTCGCCGTCGTCGTCGTCGTGGTCGTCGTCGTCGTCGTCGTCGTCGCCGTCGTCGCCGTCGTCGCCGTCGTCGCCGTCGCCGTTGCCGTCGGGCTGACGGGGGGACCAAACGTGGCCTCCTCGGAGGCGTGCGTCCGACCCGAACATGCATCGGGGGCGCGCAAACATGGACTAGCGATCCATGGATTTGGCGCGCGGTCGCCAAATCCATGGATCGGGGGAGGTGCCCTCCCCAAAAAAGCGGCCGGTGCCGCCTCGCTCGGCGGCGGAAGTCCGCGATTTCCCATGGAAACGGGACCCGTCGCTAATCCACGCCCCCTTGATCCATGTGTGCGATCGCCTGAATTCAGCACAACCATCTTGTGGCATCTATGTATATATATATATATATATATATGTGTCGGTAGGTAGCTTCCCGAGCGGAATGGCCAGAAAGCGCCCGCCATGGAGCTGTAAGATGTATCGACGCGCGCGTCGCCACTGGGGGGGGCGACTCACAAATTGTATCAGTGCCTTGGGGTGACGCCGATCCCTCCTCCCTCGCCGTGCTCCTCAAAACGCGGCACGCTCCTCGCAGAGGGCCGCGCGCTACTGCGTTAACCTCGGCGCTGCACCTTGCAAATGCTGCTTCCCCCTCATCCTCCCCGCCTCCCCGGCCCCCCTCGGTCCCCGCTCGCGCATGTCCTCCATCCCCCCCGACCTCACCTGCTGGTTGGGTGGGTACTGTGGGGGCTCGGCCACAAGAAACCTTCCACACGAAAACCAATCCTGAGACTCCAGGACGTCCAATGATTTATGGTGTGGGAACATCACGCTTTACATAGCAAAACCATTGAACACACAAGAAACCCAGGGCACCCTGGAGGCAAGCAGGGCGTTTCTTGGCATGGGTCTCCACTGTAGGATGGTGGATGGGAGCTCCTGCGGAGAGCTGGTGTGCCGATTGCGGGGGCCCTCCCCTGGGAGTGCGCCCAGAGGGGCGGGTGGTGGATGAACGCGCCCTCCCCTGCTGCTTCTCCTGGCCTTACCCCTGTGCTGCTCTGGCTTCGTCTCCATCATCTCCTGGACATACTTCCCTGAGGCCCTCCTCTCCTTGGGGGTGCGGGGCCTTCGTTCTGCAGCTGGTCTGCTGGCAGGGACGCCGTGAGTGTGGGCTGCCTTCGGGCTGGCAGGGAAAATCCTTACTTCTCTGTCGCCCCTGAGGGTTGTGGTGGCTTGGGGGGGCTTGGGCGGCCAGGCTGGGCGCGTGCGTCCCCTGGCTCCCCCTCCCTCCCCCCGGCGCTTGCGCTCGTGCACGAGCTCCTTGGCCGTCCGGCTGGAGCTTGTGAACCCAACTAGCTTCGATCCATCTCAGCCCTCCCCCCCCTCCTCCTGCGAGTCCTCCGATCTCTCAGGAGTGGCCCGTGGAGGTTTCGGCTCCGGAGGGGGCCTGGGGCAAATCAGCAAGCGCCGCAAGGAGCTGCGCCATGCCCAAAACGGCAAAAGCGTTCCGAGCTCACGTGCGACTTCCTGGGGATACAATACTGGCTGCACAACCGTGCTTCCGATCCGCAGCGCGGCTCCTCGACAAGAGGCCGATATGGACAACCAAGTATCTCAACGTGCCTGTCAACTGCACCATCCCTGGTGGGCGCTCGAATTCTAGAATTCCCGCTGGCCTTTCCCAGCGTGCCTGGAGAACGAAGTGCCGCATCCTGAGACGTTTCCATGACCTTCCCAAGTCAGCGTTTTCTTTTTCGGCGTTTAGACATCGGGCGAAAGAGGGGGGCAGGGGGGGGGGTCTGGCTCCAGACCTCTGCTTAGTGCGGCTGATTGCAACAGTGCGTCCTATGAGGGGGGACTCCACTTGCTCGAAACAGACGCTAAAAAAAGCCAAGATCCACTCCATGGGGTGGGGTGGGGGGGGAGGGGGCGGGGTGCGAGGGCCCACGCCGATCGGCAAGAGAAAGGCCCGAGAGGCCCCATCACCGGCTTGCTTAGGGGTGGCAGCCTGGGCCAGCACGGGCCGCAGAACGTGTGCACTCCCCGACTCCTCGCCAGAGGCCCAGAAGCTCGCCAGGACCGGATGATATCGCACGACCAGCACCGGCCAGTCTTTCTCTCTGCCATGCGTTGCCAATGTGGAGCCTGCTCCTTCCCCGCCCAGGGCCTTCGGTGGCATGCGTTTTCTATGACACAAGGACTGTCACTGGATGGCCCGATGGCTTCACACAAGCAGGAACTGCCAGATGATACTCCAGCAAGAGCTCACACGAGCCTGGGCACGAAGCTAAACGCTCGCTCCAGCATGCCATTCAAATAATGAAGGGTCGATAGTAAGAGGCCAATAAGTGGACCTAAGATCACCTGATAGTAAAAGGTGTACCTGCTCCACGCTGCACGGCCCTGGCCTTCAAAGCAACAACACACTGAACCAATATGCATCAACAAATCAGACCATTACCAACCATGTTCCTGCTAAGTTTGTTCAGCGCCCCGACGAATTGGACTTTACAAAAGACTACAGCTGCAGCGCATTTTCGCATTTCGAGATCGCTTCAAATCCCACCAGCCCTTCAGGGGCGTGAGTGGTTTAGAGAGCTCCATCTTCCAGCCCCCTTCTTCCCCTTCGGACCCATCCCCTTCGGGAGAGGTTGACTCGCATCCTTGGGAAATATTGAAGCCCTCTTGGGCCGTCCTGGGGGATTCTCGGGCTGTCTTCGGTCCCTCTTGAGCTGCCTTGAGGCCCTTCAAAACATATTTCAACACTACTTTAGAAATATACTTTCAAACATGCGATGTAGGATATGGACAGTGTTTGAAGGATGCACCTATCGGAATCGGTATTTTCGGCAGTCTCGAGGGCGCTCCTTGACCAGCTGGACCGTCCGCTGTCCGAACGTCGTGATCTCCCCGTTTGGACCGCCCGATGTCCAGAACCACGTGATGATCCAGTTTGGACCGCCCGCTGTCCGAACGTCGCGTTTTTCCCAGCTCGGACCGTCCATAGTTATGTGCTCGGGACGGTCACAAGGAGGGCGTGCAGAAACCAAGTGGTTTCGCGGTTTGGGCCGCACACGCTTGAGAACCATGTGTTTTCTACGTTTGAAACCTCGGCTGTCCGAATGTGACGTTCTCCATGTTTGGGCCGCCCGCTTTCGGCTCCCTACAGACCACGCGAATAGGACGTAACTGCAAGCACTGTGTAAGAAGCAAAGAAAATAGAGAGCAACTCATGGGAGCCTTCCATACCAACTTCAGTTGCTCTTGCGAATCAACGCAAATCGACGCTACATCTACGCTAAATTGACGCTACTCGACGCAGATCGACGCTACATCGGCGACATCTCATCGGTCACCAAGCGCTAATTGACGCTAGTGTACTGCAAAGACGTAGTTACGAAAGTGTACAAGTATTCCATAATTGGCCACCGGAAACATACGCGCAGAACTGTATGCACAGCTGTAAGTACAGTCGGACCGGGGACAAAAGAGCATCCTTCAAAAACACGAGACCATCCGGCGGCCAAGACTCACAGAACATCCGTGGGCGCACTCCCCAGGATGCATAAGAGCATCCATCGAGCAGACAAGAAGAACGCCAGGGAACCCTCTCCGAACCGCTCTGGATCTTATACCTCGGTCCGACAGCACAACGGCTCGTACATACCACGCTGGCAGTGCCAACAACAAGAAACTGCGAGGGCCGTGCAGCGCGGACCACCCCGAGCACCGCCCCGCGCACCTGTGGCCAGACATGTCCACTGGCGCTGCCGCAGTGGCAGGGCGTCGGGGCCAGCTGGCAGAGGCTCGGTCAGGAGGAGGAGGAGGAGGAAGAGAAGGAGGAAGAGGAGGAGGAGGAGGAGGAGGAGGCGGCGGAGACGGAGGAGGAGGAGGAGGAGGAGTCCAACCGCCATGGACAAAAGGGCACCCTACTGGTGCAAGCGCGCATCCTGAGCAGGCGCAAATGGGCAGAGTGCGCCAATACTCTGCGGACTCTGCAGACATGCAGCGTGTTCACGCTGTGAAACGGCGCTTCCTGCCCAAGTAGTGCACGTACTGACCACACGGGCTCGATCACAGTGTATTGTCGTCCGCGCCCAGCACCGACCAACGTCGGTAAAAAGTTTGCGTTCCCTCGCGCTTGCATTTGCGAGGCTGTTCTATTATGTCTCCCATGGTCTTCGTGCTATCGTGTGTTATGTTTGCCGATGCGCCGCCTGGGCACGACTTCTCCGGCCAGCCAGCCAACCCGATTACCACGAGAGGGCCGAGCGAGCAAGCAGCTCGTGCACGCACGACTTCCAGAGCAGAACGCCAGGCCGCGGAGGTCGGGCACTGTAAAGAGGCCGGGCGGCCGCCGGCGCCAAAACTCACCGCGCGCCATCGCTCGCCCTCGCCCGGGCGGTGGCTCTGCGGAGGCAGCGCCACGAGAACTGCCTATGGTTGCCTTTCTTGTTGGTGGCTCGCTTCCTCCCTGCCGAGGTGCAGAGGTGACAGAACTGGCAGAACTCCCCGCTTCTGCAGCCGCGCTCCGCGAAGAGGCAGGGGCGGCACCTGCCCGACGAGTGCAGGATGGACCCCCACGTCGGGCCCAAGTCCGAGGTGGCCCCCTCCGCGACACGCGCCGCCGCCGAGACGGGCATGGACACCTCCGCCGCGGGCCTGGAGCAGTGCCCCCTCGCTGTCGCGGAGGCCGAGCTGGAGCGCACACGTGCGTTCGGACCCGCGTCGCGAGCGTGCAGGAACGTGCTGAGAACTCGCAGGCCGTCCTCCACCGCCGCCCTGTCGAGCGGCGCCCGGTCCCGGGCGCAGCCTCCGACGCCCCCGTCTGCGGTCCGCTCCTCCTGGAGGACCACCCCGGGAGAGGCGCCACCCGGCCGCCCACCTCGGGGGGACCGACCAAAGGGGGTGCGAGGCTGGAGGTCTTCGAGCGTGCTCGTCGGTTGTCGGCGGCCTTCCAGCCTCGGGATGCTCTCCAGCGGCTGCGCCCCGTCGTGGGCGCTCTGGGGAGCCGAACTCTCTCTCTCTCTCTCTCTCTCTCTTTCTTTCTCTCTCTCTCTCTCTCTCTCTCTCTCTCTATATATATATATAAAAATACATACATACATATGCATATGTATATATATATATACACATATATACACACATCTATCCACTGGACCCCTGGCGGGGCCACCAGGCTGCGAGGGTGAGAATTGCAGCTCCCTGTACCTCTTGCAGTTTCCAGTTTCCACTGTTCCAGTCCTGCTTTCTGCTTCCTTACTGTTAAGTGTTGCTGAACGCGCGAGGGGGGCCCAAACCAGCCTTTCTACCACGCCCAGATCACGTTGTCTGAATTCCTGGTGGGGCGTGGGACACATAAAAATACATGAGATTCGCGTCCCCGAGGCCATCATCTTTTGTAAATTACACAAGATTTGCGTCCCCGAAACCATAACCCTTCATAGATTACAACACTCGCGTCCCCCAAGCCATGCACCCTGGTAAATTACACCATGTTCGCGCCCCCGAAACCATAAACCAATGTCAATTATACAATATTCACGTCCCCGATGCCATACACCTTGGTAAACTACACTATACTCGCGCCCCTGAAGCCATACACCCTGGTAAATTACGCGACGCTCGCGCCCCCGAAATCATAAACCCATGTAAATTATATAACATTCGCGCCCCCGAAGCCATAAACCTTCGAAACTTATATCATATTCGCGTCCCCAGGGCCAGAACCCCCGTACATTACACCGTGCTTGCGCCCCCGAGGCCAAAAGCACAACCGATGCACACAAGATTCACGCCCCCGATGCCGTCGACCTTTCTGCAGATTATAAAATATTTGCGCGCCCGATGCCACAAACCCTCGTGAGTTACAATGCTCGCGTCCCCGAGGCCATAAACCAGCGTAAATTACCGAATGTTCTCGCCACCGAAGCCATACACCCACGTAATTCAATATTGGCCCTCGCGTGAAGTCCCGAACTTGCTTCACGTCAGCGCCCAGACATCCAACACAGCTCTGGCAAGTCCCATTCTAAAAGAGGGGGGCCAGCGGCATGGGGGCGAAGCCCTTACGGATATACATCGACGCTCTTTCCAGCCCCGCACTGAAATTCGCAAAGGAGAGCGGATCCTAGTGCATTCGGGATCCCAATGTATATTTGTGTCGTTGTTTCCCCGGGAAACGGGGACAACAAGTATAGTTACACCACACCACCCCGACGTCGTCCCCAACCCTCAAAAAATCCGGCGATTGCATCGCCGATGTATCCGCGATGCATCGGCGATGCACTGGCGACGTCGGCGATGCATCGGTGACGTGGGCGTGGAGAAAATCGGGCTCCGCATCGAGCCGCATCGCCGATACAGCGGCGATACGGCGCGAACCTCCTGCCCCATCTGCTCGGACCGCACACTGGGAGGCCCAGAAGCTTCCGACGATGACCCGAAAACCAAAACCTCCTCTCGACGGGGGGGGAGGGGACTCGCTCCCGGCGGGGGGAGGCGGGGGGGGGAACGGGGGGAGCATCGACCCGGAAGCGGTGGTGCGCCGCCGCCGGATGGGCAGCGGGCCCCCGACAGCGAGACCGCACGCTCCCGGGCGGGAGACCCGGGGGGGCTGTCGAGCCCCCATCGGCGGCGACAGGAGAAGGGCAGAACCGCCCGAACCATGAGCATGGCCGCTTCCAGAAAACCGGACCCCAAACACGCTTTCATTCTTACAGGAGGAGGAGGAGGAGGAGGAGGAGGAGGAGGAGGAGGAGGAGCGGGCCCCCCCCCAGCAAAGGGGCGCAGCTCTTCTACTTCCGGCACCCTCCGCCGCCGCCCTTCCGCTGGCTTCCGCTGGTGGCAGGGCGGCCTCGTTTGCCCTCCGCCGACCTTCCGCCGCCCTTCGGGCCGGGCGAAAGGGGGGATAGCAAAGGGGGGGTTTGAGAATCAGCTCGCGTAGCTGATTTTCCCGGCGCCTCCCGGCGCCGGAGGCGGCTATGTATCGAGGAATGGGCCCCTCGGTGGGGCCGAAACCAGCTGCATGCAGCAGATTTCGTCAACCCCTCCTTTCCCAATCCCCCCCTTTCGTCCGGCCCGATCTGCCTTCCGCCCGCCGAGGATTCAGTCGGGCCTGTACCCCTACGGGGGGAGTTTGGAGGAACAATTCGCCAGCCCAACGGGCCAGAGGCGTGCTAAGATCTCCGGTAACTACCTAACAATATTTCTAATTCAATTCGCGCGCGCGGGGCGGCCCCTGGGGGGCCCTGCATGGACGAAAAGTACCCCGGCCGATCCCCGGCTGACCCCCAGGCGATCCCCAGGGGGGAGGCTATTTTTCGCCACCCATCACGAGGATCGTAGCCTCCGAGGGGGGGGCTGCCAACGACTACCCCCCTCCCGCCCCAAGAGGCCCCAGGGGAGCCCAATACGCCGCCAAGGAGCCCCAAGACGCTCCCAATAAGCCCCCAAGAAGCCCCCAAGACGGCCCCAAGATGCTCCAAATAGCGCTCCAAGGCCAGCGGAATGAGCGAAGCGATTACATAAAAAATAGCCCAAACATATGACAAACAAATGTCAGAACATCATAAAAAAAAACAGCCCCTGACTATTTTCTGACTCTTTCGGAGTCCTTCTCCTGCAGAGGGACAAGCCCGACTTGCGCCGAGGATGAGATGGCAGCTCCTCAACTGTCCTCGAAGGCACGGCCCTTCTGTCTGACCGCCCCATGGTGAGCTTCTGGGGGTCCGCGCGGGTCTCCGGGATCGGCGGGCCCCCCCGGGCGCTGGGCGCGCCGCCAGGGGGGTCCAGCGCAGATCCTCCAAGGTGAAGGGGCCCTGGGGCGCACCAAGAAACAGACACGAATGGCTGGAGTCCCCATGTTTTACCATGTTTCTGGGTCTTTGTCTTCCCCCCACTTCCCATATTTTCCTATATTTTCTGGGGAATCGACGATTCATTGTGTCTGTGTGTTCTTTTTCCTCCTGACAAGAGTCCGCGCGGACCTCCGCACGTTGCTTACTGCAGGTTCGTGCGGCGTCGGCGCGCGCAAAGAATCTTTGACTCTGCGCCGATCGTTGCGCCTTGAATCGATCGCGGCCCGGCCGTTCAGTTGAATCCCGTCGGGAACGATGGCGTTGCCGTGTCCATCGGTGCTTCCGCGTCGTTCGTCATGCGGAGTTCAACCTTGAACACCTTCGCCAGCGTCTTCGGCGCGCCATCGCCATTGTTTCAAAGTGAGCGGCGCAGAGAACCATCAGGCGTTCGCACCAGGTGGAAGGGCGAATTGCGATCGAACGTTGTCGAAGGCACAGTGTACAAAACGTGCACACTGTCAGTGCAGCGATGGTTGGGGTGAAGGAGGAGCATATAAACCCAAGCAAAACGTGCAGCGGCCAGAAGAACGAGGAGGCGGCTCAATTCGAGGTAAACTGAAGCGCGAGCAGTCTGGTGCGCACCATCGCCACACGAACCTACCGTATGCAACTTCTTGTTCGTACACGGCATGGGTGGCGCCCGAGGTGCCTATCCAGAAAGTCCGCGCGGACCTCCGACAGAGTATGCCTACGGCAGGCTCGTGTCGTGTCGGCCCTGGCGCCGGTGCCTGACACCGCGGGGATCGCTCCACCCTGAACGATCGCCCGCTTCAGAGGCGCAGGATCGCACACCGATGGGCCGATGCGGGGCCACGAGCGGCGTTCAGCCTGAAACGCCCGCGTTGGGGGTCGCCGCCGGCCGACGCGGCGCGAACCTGCCGTATGCCGCTCGCCCTTCTTCGAGACGGGTAGGCGGCTGGTGGTCGATGCTCCCCCCCCTCGGGAGACTCTTCATGGGGGGGGATCCCATGGGGGGATAGGATCCCAAGGGGGGGGGATCCCATAGGATCCCCTGGGGATCCCATTGGGGGGGATCCCCTCCTGCCCCCCCATGGGATCCCCCCCCATGGAGAGTCTCCCGACCCCCTGGGCCGAAGTAACCTCCGTGACGTTGCCCCCGGGCTGTCGGGTGGTAGCTCGGGGGCGAGTCGGGCATCCCCTGAGCGCTCTCGGTGAGGCGCAGCGGCTGGAAGGTCTCCCGAGGCTGCAAAACTACTGCGAGCCGACGGAAACGGCCGAAGATCTCTCCGGGGACCCCTGACATCATGATTTTTTCGCGGCGTGGACGCCCAAAGGTCAGGACCCCTTCCCCGGGACAGGCTTTTGAGCCTGAGACGTTTTTGCTCCGGTGCCAAGGTGTGGTAAGGGCCCCCCGAGATCGAAAATGGAGAAACACCTTTCGTCGAGACTGTTCCACGACAGGGCTGGACGTACACGTTGTGTTTCGTTTTGTGTTCGTTTTGTGTTTCGTTTTGCTTTACCTGTTGTCCTGCAACTCCCCGACAGGACGACAAACGAGAAACGGCCGAAATCCTGCAAAACAGCGTTTAGGTCCAGCCCTGTTCCACGACTCGAAGAGGTCAGTGTGGCGTTGCCCCTGACCGCCCCTGGCCAT